GCAGAATTAATTGCTTGACGTGCATGTTCGCAATAAGAGCTTGTCATTGTAAGGCAGCTACAACTCTTGCATTCGAAGATGTGAACAGTTCTTTCTTTAAACTGCTTTTTTTAATTTTTCTCTTCCGTTAAAAGCCCATACCTAATTTATTTGTAAGCTTCGTAGCACTTGCAACCATCAAGGCAGATGACATTTTTCTTATACTGTAGTCACTGGCCTTAAATCTTTGCCACGCTCTCTTGTCTAAAAGTATATCTACTGAATTCTTAGCCTTAATGTTTTTACTATTCTAAGTATGAGCTTTACCATGCTTCTTATCTATCGCATCCAATGGGTTGAGACTGGGGTCACATGGGGCAGGATGTTTTGCATGTTTTGTAAAGCTTTGTAAGTAAAGCTTTATCAATTAATTATTTATAACTCTTCAAATGAGATCATGAACTGTATGACTATCTGTGATCATGACTTCTTGAAAGCTTTATCGTTAATTCACGCTATAGCAAATATTTGTGGTATGTATAACGAGCAGGATATGTGTATTTGATCCTTGGTACATCATATATGAACAGTGAACATAAGCAGTTGAAGCATAAGGCTATAGAAATCATCAAATGTACATTATGAGAAGTTGAGCTCTTATACAGCGTAAACATAAAACTCAAATATCATGGCGTAAAGTTGCAAGTCCTAAATTTAAACACTGTTGTAAAAGAAAAAAATTAGTCATATTATCAAAGTTAATAAATATGGCAAAATTACACAACTAACAATTTATTGAATTAAAAAAAACCTCAATTTTTCAATGAATGCAATGAAAATTAATTTTAAATGTTTTTTTTTTTTTTAATTTTAATGCCAGTATTTGGTACAATATTTGTTGCTACTGTTAAATTATTGGCAGTGATTCTGTAAAGTACAGCAATCTGACCTAACGAAGTCATCAAACACTAAAACCCCTTGTTCAGTATTTGTCTTGGTCTTCCGAAGATATTTTTCAATCAGTAAACGAAAAAAAAAGAATAACTAAAACCCTGTCAGTTATATCAAATACCCTGTGGTAGAAGATCAGTGAAGCATTAAAAAAAAAAAGTTGTTAAATTGGAAACAGCAGCAGAAAAAAAATTAAGATCAGAGAAAACAAAAATGTTACAAATAAAAAGAGAAAACTACAAATTAATCAAGCAAAAAAAAAATGTTCTAACCCAGCAAACTAGAATCAAACAAAAAAAGGCCAAACTTGTTGCATACCACGAAAAAATTTATAAAATTGAGCAAAAATATAGATCCCATAAAGAAATTTTCGTAAAGATAAAATTAGAAAATGATTTAAAGAACCAGAGAAGCAAATTGCAAACAAAATTAAAACACATTGGTAGCTAAATCTTATTATTTTTTTTTAATTATCATAGATTTGATGAAATTTCGTAGATTTTATTGTGATCTCGCGTGGTAAGGGCTAACGATTATATTTGCCAGTATTACATGGCCAGTAATTCAAATTTAGACAGTATTTGGGGCCAGTAATACGTGCGTGGTGTCAGTAATAGGAGCATGTTGACTATCCACAAAAATGTTTATTATTAATGATATGATCTTATTTATGTCTATTTAAAAAATTATTTTCCGTTTTTTATTAAATAAAGTGAAATTCAATAAATAAAGATTAAATTAGCCGTGACTTCTTTGACTAAATCAAGAAAGCATGGTAAACAGGGTTCCATTCTATAGTCAAAAGTAAAATGCAATACCCTGAAGTATACTTTTAAATAAAAGTTGAAATACTTAAAGTTCAGATTACTAAATAAATGCAGTAAACTATTTGTTTAAGTCCTCTGATCACTTCTTTACAATGGATTTTTATCTTATCATCAATACAAGCATGTTTCTCACTCTTCTTCTTTTAAGCAGCAGAAAAGATCTAAGACTTGAGTATTACAAGGGTTAGCAACTCTGCCTTAAGTATTGCAGTTTATTTTTATAAGAAAAACGCTTATACTTGCTTTTTTTGAAGATTACACTCATAACACTAGTACAAAATGAAATAATGTGTCTGCAAGTTACATAAAGTTTTGTTGATAATCGGCTCTTTATTTGCAAATGCAATAAAAAAGTAGATAATAAGATTGCAGTTTCATAGGGCAAAAATGCAAAAATAGCCATTGACACCTGAAATATCACAACAGATAAATGGAAAGAGAGTAGAGTAACCGTCTCCCTATTTAAATGAGCCACACGTTCTGGTTCCACTAAGAAAAGTCTCCATCGTGCATATGAAGTGTAACGAAAGGGTAGTATTATGAGAGCAACGAATGAAAAATAAGCTGTCTAGTTGCAAATTTCTTATGTAATATAATTTATGTCAATTATGAGTCACCATTTTTTGGTTTCTGGCAATGTAACCATTACTATTATTTCTATATAACAACTGTAAAAAAACCATACGTTGACTGACAAAAAAAGACTCAATTGACATATAGATTGCTTACGTTGACGATGCTGTGTCTTTTTTTTATTCATAATTCAGCTCCGTACGTAGAAACGAGTAGTCCAGACATTCTTAATGCCTATGCTGACACGCTAATCTGTTGTTATAATTTGTGAAGTAAAAAGATATATTAGTATAATTCCATTTAGTTTCATCTTATCCGTTTCACTTCGTTCTACTCTATATGCATGAAGTACATCTTCTGTGATGAGAACGGAATGGCTAAACAAATTAAAACAGTAGTAGGAGAACCTTTCTGTTTGTTCTGTAACGTATAAATGGTTTTTTTATTATATGTCACCATGGCCGAAGGAAATGACAAAAAAAATATGAGCCTACATATTCTAAAGCAATGAGAGCAAGAAGTAAGAAAAACAGCAATGAGAAAAATTTCAGCAGGAATAAGTCAGATGGTCGGAATAACAGACTGAAGTGCTATAATTTTTTATAACATAAACAAGGCTATCAGACTAAGGTTTGAAAAAAAAGTACATACAATAAATTTAATTATTTTATCATTGTATAGCTTCTACTATCCGTACAACTTATTAGATTCATTTGATCCAATCCTTTTATTTTTCTGTAATTTTACCTATCTTCTTTGTTGAAAATATACTTATTGTCTTTAATATCTTTACTGTCGAGTCGTATTCATTTAAAAATCCTTAGAGATAGTTGCCACTAGATTTTTTCTTTATGCATGTAAAAATAAATGTCGTATCATTATTACGGAACTTGCCTAATAAATAGTAATATTTTGTCTAATCTTTTTAAAGTTGTATAATCTAAGTATGTTTTAAGGTTAGATTGTTTATCTGATTTTAGATGACCTTTTTAATCGACCAAAAAAAATGATATGAACAAATTGTACGAACCATACGAGGGCCCATAAGAAAAAAACAAGTAGAGAAATGAACTTATAAACAGTTCTTCTTAAAAATATTTACCAGGTCTTTACCAGCTGTTTTTTAAAAGAAAAGTTTATATATAATACCCTGCTAATTTTTGATTAGTATTTCTTGTTTCTATAATTTTCTTGTTCCTTGCTTTCATCGCGTTTGCGTGGGAAAGCCGTTTACGTAAGGGTATTTTTTAATCGTTTAAGATAAGGATCAGAAAATAAAAGAGATGTTTGCATGAATAAGTGTGGTTAAAATACAACAGATTGCGGTAAAGTAGATCTAAAGATTAAGTTATTTTTTAATAACATAAAACTTGCATTAAACCGAGCAGTGGTCGTTCCAGCTGACTCAAGTAAATTTACAGTGTTATTTCAAAATGTCACTAAGTTAACTTGACCCATCACATTACAACAATAGTATCATTTGAGTCTCCTCACTTTTTTACAGTTATTGGTAGATTATTATTAATTTAAGTGAGTTCTAGGTGGATTGGTAAAAACACTCTTAGTAAATCCTAATAAAGTTAATCTTATTCTGTAAAAAAAAAATAATTAAGTCGAACAATATATTCATAGAATGTCATTAAAGAATTTCCAAAAGTTTAATGCATACATACGTATATACATAAATGAACAATAATCTTAACCAGTAAGCTTAGCTAAATAGGAAGTATACACAAAGAAATAAACTGAATTACAATTAATGCTAATTGATTACTTATCTAAGTATTTAGTATAATATACAATGGCTTATTATTATTCGTAAGTATACTAAGGGTATGTTGAAAATTGAAGCACCTTTTTTTAATTTCCTATTTTTCAATTAAAACTGATTACTTAAATCAAATTTAGCGCCTTAATTTTCCGTACCAATTAAGATCGAATATGCACTTGCAGTGGTAGCCAATCAGTGCATTCCTATACCCAACTGTACTAGAAGCTAGCTGCTGCTGCTGTTGGAGCCAGTTGGCCTAGCAAGCCAGTTGAGGCAAGTTGCATGGCACTAGATAGTAGAGTTATTTTACGTGTTCCAGCATCAAACCAAATTTTAATAAGAAAGTACTTTACTAGCAATATATTCACCTGTTCATTTAATTGTGCAGTGTATCTTTTACCTCTCTTACAATCTCACCTTCTCCCAAAATCGGCTTGAATTTATAATATACAGTCCACAACGTGTTCAACCCCAGTCAATCTCAAACAGGGTATATCTAAGTATATGGTGGTTTGTGAGGATCAAAAGGGTGGCCTAAGAAAATTACGTGGGATGACTATGAGAGGTTGGGACTAAAACTTGTGATGCACAGATACAAGATCCCTTCAGGTACTAAGATGTATTCTTACAATAAATCAAAAAGTGTACTGATTATTACGCATTGGTAGTCGATAAAGTTCATTATTTATGTTATGTGTCTGAAGGGTCAAAGTTTCTGGCAGTGAAAATAGAATAAGAAAACTAATACCTTTTTGAAAATGCTGTGATTTTCCTTACTTAACCCTTACTCACTACGAATTGATACTATAATATAGGATGGCACCACTTAAGGATTTATTAATTTTTAATAATACAATTTAATGAATAAAAAATTGAAAACGTACATATGTATAACTTACGATTTGAAGATAGGCATCTCAATCTCATAAACATATTTGAAATCTTCAAAAGCCAACAAATATTCTTTGTTTTTTAAAAGAAAATGAGCTCTTGTAATTAAAGCAAACGGTAAAGAGTTCTTTCTAGCAATGAGCTCGTTTTTGTCTGAAATAAATTAAAAGGTTTATAGGTATCAAAAAAGTTCTTAAACTTGTTCAGAAAGCTATTTTGAAAATTTTATTACTTTCTATGTATGTAATAACTTGCCAAGTTTGTACAAATAGGACTGATTCATTGAAGTACAGTTAAAAAGACAAGTTACTTGCATACAATTGACTAATCTACAAATATCAATAGAACTACTGACAGAATTTCTTTCAATGAACCGAAGATCAAATAGCTTAGGTACAGTACTGCTCCATTTTTAAGGAACTTACTAGTTGTCAGGGTAAGAAAAGTAAGTGATTAATTCATTACAATAACAGAATATCACAAGGCCAGAGGTTATACTAACTTCTTTCAGGCTTTAATTGACATAGTGACGGTAGCATAATCATACGTAAAGTTATTTAATTAAATATACGATTTATTATCACTTGTTTTATATATGACAAGTGTCCAAAAAAAAATAATAATAAAGTTTATCTGATTTGACCTCAGGGGCTACCTAATTAAAAAAGTTAAGAAAACACGAAAGAACCATTAATTCATTAACTTTATTTTGCTCCAGGAAAAAAATGTTACGTTAAAAAAATTAACACCCTTGTCACTGCCAACTTAGTGAGATACAGCCCATTTATTTTACTATATTAACATTTCGTCCATCCATGCAAACTTTTTCAGAATTTTATTACGATATTGTCAATGATTAGACCAATGATATTTGCTAACTCACTCATAACAACTCAATTTTCACAGCTTATAAGCATATTTACGCAAGGTGCGCTCTCACCCACATCTTAGTAAGAAATTTTTTTACCTATCAAGAAACATGCCTCACTTTTATGTGTAATGTTTACAAGAAGACTGTCTACAATAACGCTTATATGCGCAACAAAAACCTAAACAATGTATTACTTCAACCTCAATCATAAATAGGGAAAAATGAGGCTTGCACATACTAAGAGAATACGATGGACTATGCAATCTTTGAGAACTTTTGACCATAGATTATGTATCTAGCTGAGTTGTGGGTTATGGGCCATTTAAGAGTGATGAAAAAACAACAGAAAAAAATAGAATGTCAGGAAATAAGATGAAAATAGAAAAAAGCTTAGACTATGTGACAGGAAGCTTCAACTGACCTTGTTACTGTTTAAACTATTACGTTGTTTTAAATAGATAGAATTAATAAACCTAGAGAAAAATGTTTTTAGCCTACGAGTGTCCACATTCTTATTAACATCAGGCTTATAACATCGTAAAGTTAGTAACTCGAAAAATTTTCGTTTCAATCTATTTTTTTTATTATTATTTTTTTTTTAAATCCTAAGTTGATTTAAATCAAACCAATAAAATATGCTGTTATAGCGTTTGGATTTAATTAACCTATGATCATTTTTAAAAATATCCCGCTTACTCTAATATTATCTAGTTTTCAGTAAATGTGAACTTTTATCCCTATTACTACATAACATTGTATTTACAACGCCTTGTGTAATTTTCTTACTTAGTTTATCCTTACCTAACCGAATAGATAATGAAAATTCATCGTTGTTTTGGATAATCGTTTGAAAATCAGATAAGCCCAAGATATTTTTAAATAAATTAAAAAATACAAAACAAAAGGGTACTGTAACCGAAGCTTTTTTTACATAAAAATTTGGAGCTTTTTGAAGCTATGTGTAATATAGGTCAAAAATTATTTATAAATATTTTTGACTGCATTGTATACATCATAAGAAATCTTAGTAACCATTGGCTTTAATAGATTCTTGATAAATTAAAGATTGTTTAAAGAGAAGTTTAAGATTGTTTTTCCGTAAAGGATCGTAGATAAAAATGATAAAAAATTGTTGAGTTGGATTAACTGAGTCAAAAATAAATGCACGTTAAGACTCTATACGTAAGAGAAAAAAAACGTTTCATAATTATTATGAACATTTCATAGCTTGGTTTTAAATACTCATAAGAATTCTCTAGAAAAAGCATACGTTTTTCTCACTCGGAGAAAAAGTCAGAAAATGTGACTAAATAAATTTTACTTTTTTCTTGAAAAAGTACAGGTATCTCAGCTGCTTACTGAAATATGTATCTACGTAAAAAATAAATCTTTTTTTTATTAGTCAATTTGCTATTTTCGTCAGAAAGTCAGTTTTCCTAGTAGAAGTGAGCAAATGTTCCTATTTTTAATTATGATTCCTTCTGCTCTATTGATTACACTAACAATGAATTGTAAGTAAAAAAACTATATGAATTTAATATTTCTAAAGAATGCAGGAATTGCTTTTTAAAATCTAAGTTTGAAAAATTACTCTTGCACATTAAACTAAACTATACTTCTCACTTAACTTATATACAATGCAATTATGTAGTGTAAATGTTAACTATTTTGGGTTTCTTACAGATCTGGGAGCTCTCTTAGCACTCTCTTAATAAAAAATAACTAAAAAGTTAAAATATTAATCCACTGCAATGTAAAATTCCTGAAACAATATAACAATAGTGACTGGTATGCCACAAAGTTTACATCTTTAAATTTAAATACCATGCATAGAGTTATTTGTTCTTAGAATATAGAACCATAAACAGTGTCAGTATTACAGTATGACAGTTAAAAGTAAATTCCTAAAAGAGTTTGTTTCGCAGCTTTTATGAGAATTGGACAAATGAAATTTGGAGCTTTGCAGAGTGATGCATAGGTACAACATATCATGATGTTCAAACTTTCTCCGCTTAAGCATGAATTTAAATTCAAAACTAAGTTTTAATACATCATGATGTCATCAGATACACTCTCATACGTCAGCTCACTATTGACGTAAGAGCTTGAAAAGTTAAGACATTATGAACAGTGAGACCATTAAACTACTCAAAAGTTTCTCAGTATTACCAGCCAAATTTATAACAAAGAATTAAAAGTTCATAACTTTTATTATTTTCAGTGATGAGCTGTATCAGATGGTAATGTAAAAGGTATATTGGAACAACGTTTGTCTTTTAGTTTTTATAAGAGCTTAGCAAATAAAACCTGGAATTCCATAGAGTAATGCAAGGGTCAAATTTTTTAAAATTTTTTAACTCTCTCAGCCCATGCGTGAACTAAAGTATAAAACTAAATTTGAATGCATTAAGCTTTTACTGGATATATTTTTATACTTTATTTCTCAATGTAAAAGCTGGATAGTCAAAACATCCTGAATAGTGAGAGCATTAAACTACTTGAAAGATTCTAAGTCTTACTAGCCGGATCCATAGACATGGATTAAGCATCCACAATTTTTTTTAAGTTCAGTGTTAAGCTGCATTGCTCTCAATTGTAACTGTCTAATTTGTGTAAAATAGAGAAAAATTCTCATATTTTTTACATGTTTTTTCCTCGCGTTCTTACAGCTCAGACGCATTTACATTTTTATCCCTAATTTCATCTTGCATGCAAACATGCAATATTTTTTTCATAGTAACCGTTTAAAAATGGTAATTAACTCCCCAAACACGCATTTTTTCAGCTTGTCGTAAGCAAAGGCCATTTAACTATATTTTAATACCGTAAAAAATAGCTTTCATCATATGTACTTATATTATCTTATTTTTTTCTAAACTTTAAGTAAGCAGACTTGACCTTTAAAAAGTAGGAATCTTAGCTACAGAAAAAACTTTGTGTATTACGTTTTAACAACTAGAGTTTGTCCTTTGTCACAGGAGATTTAAGGAGCTTATAGTCCTTATAAACTTTGTTTTAACATTCTTATTGTCAAGTTTACCATATGAACTTTATTTACAGCGATTATTGAGAAAAATGGATTTATATAAAAGATTATTTTCCCTAAAGTAAGCTGGACTTCCTTAGTCCAGTTTAATTTCTCATTTAACTTCACTTCAGTAATGTTTTTTGATTGAAACTAAATGATGTTGTTGAGAGTATGCCTCATGTGAATGTCTGCAGAAGCTGTGGATAATCAGTTGAACTACATTATCAGAAGTGAGTTAGCAATAACTGTTTGTCTTATTGTTTGTGTCATTGTTTCAGAATTTTCATAAGCTTGACATAGGATGACAAAACATCAAGATTATTAAATAAATGTTGTCGATCTCACCAAGTTAGCAGTAGTAGCAGTAGCTAGGGTGTCAATTTTTTAAATTTTGTTTTAAAGATTGTTATCAAGCACCAAGCTTATTAATCAGCTTTCTGCAATTCTAGTGGTTGTTCTAAAAAATATGTGGATTCAGCATTTCTTGCCAAAAAATAAAACTTATCTATTATATAACTCAGGCGAATGTACTTTTATGCATATGTTGTAGCCATTAATCAAATTTGTACTTAAATATAAGCTACAATTCAAATAAACAATTTTTTAAAATTAACTTGACATTATTCATAGTTCTGTGAAGTTTTTTTTTAGAGATACTACACAAACTCTGTATTTTTCATTTTTTTTTTTTTAGATCTAGAAGTATTAGTTATGGTTGAATAATCCATCCTAAGATGAAGACTTTCTGTAAAGCGTTACATAAATAATATTCCTTAAATAATACAAACTTAAAGGCATGCAATCTTACGTTATGCCTTATATGTCTATTATTACTCACTTACAAATTTTGATAAGGCAAGTCTGAAAGTAATTAACAGCCAAGATATTCCAACTAAAAAGACAGTTTTTATCAATTTTTATGCTAATATCTGAACCGTTAGGATTTTCATCTCCATTTACAATTCAACCACGAATCATCATGCAAGACCTTGCAAAGAGCAGAGTCTGTAGAAATCAGTGATTGCAAGAAAGTGAGCTTAGGCAGTCAAAAATTCGATCATAAGATTAGGACTAATTAAAATTTTTCAAAATTAATCGCTGTCAAAAGCGAGAAAATGAGCAACAGAAAAAAGCCAAGCCTAACGTTTTTTGTGATGCTAGCTCCAAAGCTTATTCTGCCGTAGCATATGGGCGATTTTTGTAACACGATGAAAATTTAAGAACTTTATATACACTGTTGAAAAGCTGAATGGC